TCACCATCTCTACCATGCACATATATGCCATCTATTGCCCAATTCGCTCGTTGTTGTCGCTGAATCCCCAGAACCACAATTGTGCCGGTTCGAACGCGAAATGCTTGTCAAGACAGCATGGTCGAGAATGCGCGATGGTCGAATGCAGTCGACGCAACGTTATCGCACGTGTAGGCGAAGTGGAGTCTGCGCGTTACTCAGACGAACAAGCGCGAGAAGTGGCGGTGTAGCTAGCTGGTGGATAAGGTTACACGGCGCGCATGGCAAAGTCCAAATAGCGCGTATGCAAAGCTGCACGTTAGCAAGATGGAATTCACGGCAGAAGACGGTAGATGAAGTGATATGCTCGATTCAGCTCATGAGCTCGCGGTCGTCAATACAACCAGCTAATATACAGCTCTGGTATAAATCCCGTAAAAAGCCGAGAACCCAAACCCAGACCGACTCCCATTATCATTGCAGATGAAAAAGACCCATGAAGTAACCACGCCGTGAAGAAGAAACTCAAATGCAGGACGCGTTTAGAGCTCCTGCGAAGGACCCTTGCCAGGCTTGGCTGTCTTCTTGGGCAGAAGGTCTGAAAGTATGTTAGCAACTGATGCGATGCGAGCGGACTGTGGAGCAACGTACTCTGGTGAATGTTGGGGAGAACACCACCCTGGGCGATGGTGACGTGTCCGAGAAGCTTGTTCAGCTCCTCGTCGTTCCTGATGGCGAGCTGGAGATGGCGGGGAATGATACGGGTCTTCTTGTTGTCGCGGGCAGCGTTACCGGCCAACTCGAGGATCTCAGCAGCGAGGTATTCAAGGACGGCAGCGAGGTAGACGGGGGCACCGGCACCGACACGCTGAGCGTAGTTGCCCTTGCGGAGAAGACGGTGGACACGACCGACGGGGAAAGCGAGACCGGCCTTGGATGAGCGGCTAAGGACGAGTTAGCTATGATGCAATGTTGGAGATGGAGTGCGCAATGCCATGCGAAAAGACGCGTCAATCAAGCAAAAGACGCGTCAAAAAGATGCAAAGTGAAGCTGAAGAATGCGCAAGGCAGACTGGAGCCAAAGGCGCGATGCAGGAGATGGACTACTCACGATTGGGCGCTGGACTTGGAGCCGCTGGCCTTGCCTCCGGACTTGCCTCCAGTCATTTTGAGAGAGTTGGTTTGGGGGTTGGTTTGGAAGTGGGAGAGGTTAGAGAGTTGAGTAGATTGAGCGGGATGAGCTGGTTGTGGGCGTGGAGTGTCGAGACGATGGATTGCTTGCTGCTGTCGGGGGGCGGGGCGGTCTTATAAGGACGGCGCTGGACTGTTGTGAGTGCGCGAGATCAACCTGCCCACGCTAGCGCGCGAAAAGGCAGCGACGCCGCCTAGCGCCTGCCGCCAGACTGCGCAAGATCAATGGCGGGCCTCGCTTAGCCACCAAACCGGCAAGAGCTGCTGCACGGGCCTCCCAGCCGCTGCTGGATCACAACATGAGAGCGCGCTCCCCATAAGTAGCGCACTCCCCGCCGTCGACGACCTTTCCCTTCATCCATCGCAAACTCCCACCACGACGCTCGACCAACTCCATCTCACTCCAAGCTTCTGCTTTTAACCCAAACCCACCTTTTTTACCACCACCTCTCAAATCCACCAAAATGCCCCCCAAGGCCCAGAAGACTCCCACCACCGGCGGCAAGGCCCCGGCTGGCAAGGCTCCCGCTGAGAAGAAGGAGGCTGGCAAGAAGACCGCCGCGCCCTCCGGTGACAAGAAGAAGCGCACCAAGACCAGGAAGGAGACCTACTCCTCCTACATCTACAAGGGTGAGTTTGCACTTTGCGCGTTCTGAGCGCGCCATCTAGTCTCTGAGGCCTTGCGCTTCATCGGCTTCCATTGAGCAGAATTTGCTGACGCGTCTTTAGTCCTCAAGCAGGTCCACCCCGACACCGGTATCTCCAACCGTGCCATGAGCATCCTCAACTCTTTCGTCAACGACATCTTCGAGCGCGTCGCCACCGAGGCCAGCAAGCTCGCTGCCTACAACAAGAAGTCCACCATCTCATCGCGCGAGATCCAGACATCGTACGTTTTCCGCCCTTCTCCCACATCCAGTCTCGTTAACTGACTTCATTCACAGAGTTCGTCTGATCCTGCCTGGTGAGCTTGCCAAGCACGCCGTCTCTGAGGGTACCAAGGCTGTCACCAAGTACTCTTCCTCCACCAAATAGAGTGCTTTCTTTTCGCCGGATGTTTTCTTTGGGTCTTTCTTGTCTATTTGACAAGTGGTTATGGGGTGCGGTGTTCACGGGTCCTTTGCTAATGTGATCATGGGTCGGTTTGTCTGTCATCGAATCATCTAGTCGTATTCGACTACGAGGTCCATCAGGGTCTGTACATTATACCACAGCAGACGGGAACGAATCAATTATTTCGAACTTCACAAATGACTTCATTTCCTTTGACTTCCACTTTCTGCACATCGTATCCTCTTCTTTGACTCACAGATTCCCGTTCCACACAGAGCGCATTCGTGATTCAGCCATGGCGCGTAGATCTGGAAGCGCGCCTTTCTCGAGACGATACGCGATATCGACGCGTGGCGGGGGCCCACGCGCCGTGATCTACGAACACGCGCCGAACGCGTCTTTCACGATATCTCGACGAAACCGGAGGGACCGCGCGTTTCGCGATTCCGGCCCAGATGACGTAGGCGTCCAGCGACAGGAACGAGTGAATTCCAGAACTGGAACGACAAGCACGAGTTTCCACATGGCAAGCGTACGCACCTTAGCAAACATTACCAAGACTTATGGATTTATGGATTGCGCACCAAAACGCGGCATTTACGGATATACACGTACCAAACCCTCGAATCCCATGACTCCAGACATGCATGTACCCGTATTGATATCATTGCGAGACCCAACAGAAAACGCCATAACAATCAAGACGGCAGTTGCCTATTGCAAGCCATCCTCGTCCCAACTCTCGACTTCGTCAATAGCACCCTCTCTTTCTTGTCCTCGCGGCGCTGGCTCTTTGTCCTGCACGTGCACCACGCTCTTGCCTTGCACGCTGCGAACGCCTTCTTTCCAGTTATCGTAGTCTTCTTGTGACGTTATGAGGAAAGCGAGAAGCATAGAGGGGTCCATCTCGCGGATCTGGAGACGGCGGATGCGGCGCGTGTGGCAAGAGGCGAGTTCCTCGGCGGAGTAAGATGATGAGTTTGATGAAGGGACGATGGTTGTTGATGACGAGGTGGACGTTGCTGAAGCTTCTAGTGTGGAAGGAGCGGCTGTTTCCTGGTCTTCAGTGGATGACGAAGGGGAGCGGTAGGGTAAGAGTGGGCGCGTGCTGTGGGGATCAAGGTAGAAGAAGTTATTCGCCTGCGTGGCTACGAAGTAATGTGATGCTGAAGGGCGGCCACTGTGAACAATTAGTATAACTCGTCTTGAAGTATGACAGACATCTGTTGCGCCTCACCCTGCAATGCCAATGCTCTGCTTCATCTGCAGGCTCGCCTTCAGCGCCTCCCAATACACTGGAGTGATCTTGTCGATGCCCAACCTTGTGCCGACGAGGATCAGCGTAGGTCGCCATTCTCCGTCGTCGTCCTCGGCGATTTGCTTCAGCTTATCTTCATACACGTCGGCGCCGTCACCAGATACGTATACTCGCAGACCAGCTTCCTTGTACTTATGCACTAGATCCTGTATGCACCGTGCTGCGGCTGAGGGACCGAACCACTCGCCAGGGTACTTTCCGCATACAGCAGCGCCGTGTTCGACGAAGCGGTGGATAGAGAAGGGCGCTTTCGGATCGTCGGCAAAGAGCGAGAGTATTTCATGGTGCTCAGGCACATCAGGCTTCTCTTGGTATCTCCAGTCCCGTCCAAGACGTAGCATCTGCAGCGCGTTGGCGAGTATGCACTGCCCGCTCCTGATCATGCAGCCAAAGCCCGTATCCGATGTGAATCCAGGCGAGGCGAGGTTCTGCATGCGCACGCGGAAACTCATAGCGCTCGTTGCCTTTGGGTCCTGACTTTTCTGAATCGGTGCGAAGCCAGACCGATAGGTCATCCAGATGCGCGACTCGAAGTCGTCGAGGAAGGCGGAGGGCCAGTTGCCATATTGTGCTGGATCCTCGCCATTTGGAGCTTCCTTGCGTTCGGACTCTTCGATGCTGGTTCTTATCCAGCTTTCGTCTTCGTTGCGTTCGGACAAGGGCGTGGGTGCAGGCGTCCCGGCAGCTGGGGAATCAGTAGGTGTAGGCTTGGACGGCGGCGGCCGGGGGTCGTAACGCTGGCCTAACAGCCATATGGGGTCGTTGGAGTCGTTGGTCGGCGGAGGGTCGTAAAAGGTGCGGACGATGTTGCGGCTGACGCGCTCGAAGTCATGCATGATGGCTGCAACAGAAGGTGTTGTAGCCAGGGCGGCGATGGATGCGGAGGTGATGCGGAGGTCCCGAGATGAGGTTGCCTAGAGCTGACTGCACGCGTTCGTACTTGCCACAACTATTTGCACATGCCCACGATACCAGACGGTGGGTTGATGTAAAGTAGCAACACGATGTGGAGCTTCGTGGATTGGTGCAGCCAGCTGCAGAGGGTCAGATGCGGCTCTACGAACCCAGGTTCCGCGGGGGAGGGGCCTGCGGTGCTATCACCTGGCTGTGTCACTGCGTGGCAATCACGTTCCTAGAATGCGTTGGCCAGAGTATGCGCAACCCATGTACACATCACCGCGATCCAAGCGCATTTCATTCATGCACTCTACAATGGCTTCCATGCTCAGAAGCTGCTGGCGCACTGTCCACGCATCTCCAGAGCTCACCGGGGAGCGATAACCAGCGGCTCCATCGTCATAAGCTCCGCTAAGCTAACCCTGCGCATCATTACTAGCCCCGCGCCACTCGCGACCCTTCGAGACATCGAAGAGCGCATCATCTCCAAACCCTCCCCAACACCGTTCTTTTCTTATTTCCTTCGTTTTCACCGCAAAACGCTTGTCGCACCGCTGTCGCTATGTCGAAGGGCAAAAAGGGCAAGAGCAAGGCCAAAGGCGGCTCGGCCAAGGGCACACCGCAGCGCGCGCAGTCCAAACGCCACTCATACCAATCATGGCCAGTACATGAGGAGAGTACGTTTGCGCTCTTTCCCCAATCGCCACATTGAGATTGGGCTGTATTGACCGTCACAGCCGCGACCGCCTCCAAGTTCTCCCTCAAAGACGAGGCCAAATGGATGTCAAGTCACCGCACCGCTGCGTTTGAAGCTGGCAAGAAATTGCGACACATGCCCATCGAGTTCATAAGCGCCGGCCACCTCGAAGGCACGCTGAAGAAACTCACGCCCGACGTAGAGACGGCCCAAGTCTCATCTGAATCCAGCGCTGAATCCATTACACCATCCTCGCCCTCCTCCACGCCCGACAACACGTCAGCAATGGCACACATGGCCATTCGCAGTCCCTCGCCCGCGCCTTCTGAGGCTTCATCTTCGAGCGCCGACGAAGTGCTATTCAGAGGCCGTGGAAACCAGCCACCAGCTGCGTCTGTCGCCACCTCGTCCTCTCAACAGGCACCCAAAGCCACCTCTACTGCGAAGCCGCCACCCACATCCGCACACGCGACGGCGCGACCATCAAAGCCGACTCCTTCAACAGAGACGCCGTCTGTTCAGACACCCGAGCTCACCGCTGCCTCTACTACCGACAATACATCCGTGGCAACGACAGCCAAGCTTCCAGTATCGGTTGAGCTTAGCATTCGAGGCAACGCTACATCTCAGCTGGAGGTAGAGGTGGACTCGGATGCCGATGACGTTGATCAAAACCAGTTCTCAAGGCGAAGAGGAGGCAGACCCGCATGGGAAGGCACAACTACCGAGTGGCTACACCGGAGCAAACCAAATGTCGGATGGTTGCCTGGTAATGCCCGCCCTGACATGGACGCCTATCTGCGCGGCGAGGTGAACCCTCGCGACGCCGCGATAGATGACTACATGCAGAACATGGAGGAGTTTGGTCTTACCGAAGATATGATGGCTTCGTCTGGCTTCGCACGCCGTGATATGGATCTGGATGCGGGCAGTCATAATGATTGGGAGTCAGCATCTGGAAGCGAAGACGGTGGTAATGAAGATGCAGGCGATGGCACTGAGGAGTGGGACTCAGATATGCTGCAGGATTTCGACGACATGGACACCGCATCAGACGTCGCGGACAAAGTCGTTCGGATTCTATCAAAACGCATGCGCAAGAGTGGCCTCCAATATCTCTGCGTATACGAAGACTCGATAATAGACGAAGCTCGCTGGATCTCACCTACCCACCTCAAGTCTGGCGACGAGAAGCTACTGATCAAAGCTTTTGAGGCAGAAGCTCACGAGCGTGAGCAGCAAATGCTCTCCAGCAGCGACTCCGAGGACGACTCCGAGGATGAGGACGATGAAGATGAAGAAGCTGAAGACTGGGATGATGAGACCATCGCAAAGGTCTTGCAGAAGCAAGAAGAGCTTGGTCTGGGTGGCGACGAAGTGATGCTCTATGGTGGCGATGAATATTTTGGTGGATCGGGCCCATCTAAGAACTACTCATATGGCGGTTACGGCAGATCCAACAAAAAGGGAAAGGGGCGCGGCCGGGGCAAGAGAGAACCTATTTTCCCCTCCGCTTCTGCTATGGTTGCGGCCCTGGAGATGGATCCATATGGTGGCTTTGACATCATGGATACTGAGCGCCCATCGCTTAAACCCAAGAAGAAGGGTCGACGTGGTCAGCCACCGCCAGAATTGGACGATTCAGATCTGAACGAGCAGTTGCAAAGCGCGTGGGCGAATGACAGAGCCAAGAAGCGTGTGAAGAAGGCCGAGCGCGAAGAGTTGCGTCAACAAGGCTTGTTAGGTCGCAAGGGCAAGGGCCCCAACCTCAAGGTCAAGTACCAGGGTGGCCTCGATATGGAAGACATTGTCGAAGAGCTTCGTGAGTTCTTGCTAGGCGACATGCAGACATTGTCTCTCCCACCCATGGAGGCTTATCGCCGCGCCACCGTCCACCAAGCTGCTTCATTCTTCAATCTGAACTCACGTTCTCGGGGCTCTGGTATGGACAGGTTCACCATCCTGTCCAAGACCAACCGCACCCGCACCTATACGGACGACGAATTCGATATTGCGATTGCGAAGAAGGGTTTCCAGAAACGCCTTAAAGGTCCTCTTTACTCAGAGGGTGGTGGTGGCGGCCGTCCGGGCAAGTATTCCACCGTCAAGCACAAGCAAGGTGGTGCGCGCACCCGTCCTCAACTGGGCTACAAAGATGGTGAGACTGTCGGTGCGAATGCGCCAGAGCTCGGTCCTGAGAGCAAGGGCCATGCCTTGATGATGAAAATGGGATGGTCCAACGGTGAAGCTCTGGGTGCTGGCGACAACAAGGGCATCCTAAAGCCTATTCCCCACACTGTCAAGACCAATAAGGCTGGTTTGCAGTGATCGCGCTGTTTGTATCACGACATCCCTCAATGACGTTGCCTTTCCCGGGCGTTTACGAGGTGGTGGTGTTACGACATTCCAGCTCAACCACACTCACATGCGCAGCACTGGTTGCGTTTGATATGGCATGTAGTACCTTGTGTATATCCTTGTGTATATTAGTACTGGCGAAGTCTGTGGCGTACGATGGGTTACCGATCATGGCACGTTTACAAAGGGCGATGGTATTGCATTGCGTGGCGGACACCGGCGGCGTTGTTTAGATCTTCCATCGTCGCCTGCAGATCCACCGTGGCGGCTCGTCAGGCAGCTGTCACTTGGAGCTCGCGATACTTTTTTCTTTAAGGCCGCTCAAGTATGTCTCTTCGACTCATGATCCTGTCGCGACATCGCTTGGGTAGGCATCAAAACTACATCAAAATCGTACCAAAAAAATCAATAAAATACTAGAACTTATGAACTGAACCGCGTAATGTGACAAACCCAGTGACTGTTACGTAGATTGCTTTGGTGATGTACATGGCCGATGTGGGTACGAGCAAAAATCTCGGGTTCTTGGTGTTCGATTTCTTTACAATAAAGCCTATCACCAAACCGATCGAAATATCATAGCACGGCACAACGCGTACTTTTTGCCTCTCCATAACGCGTAACAGTCTCTTCTCGACATCATGCCTCGTTGAGACATGAGAAATCGCAGAACAAATGCGCGCACATATGTTCATACGCGTGGTATGCATACGATGCAACGACTTAGTCCGCTCGATAAACTTGACTGACTTGTAATGGGGCTCCATCAATACAAGGGAGCTGAAAAGTGGAATAAGCCATTGTTCAATTCCATCTACTCAGCAATCTAGAGGCCGACTCTCAACTCGTGTCTCATCAACTCAAGCTAAAACACCATTCTGGAGTCTACATCCAAACCAGACTGTCCAAACAACACGGTTTAAATGCACCTTGGATACCTCATATACACGCCCTTGCACGTGGTTCAGATTCCACCTGCCACCTAGTCTCCTACATTCTCCTGAAACTGGTCGCGATAGCTTGCTCAAACTGTCGCGTGGGAATAAAGTAGGCGCATTTGGACAATCGTTCGATGAGTCAAAGTTCCCACTGAAGGGCGTCAACCGACAGAAAGCCTCTAACAAGGCAAGCAGTCTGAGAGATCTATTCGTAAGATAATCGTGACAGAAAAGACACAGACACCATATGTGTAAGTCCCCAAATGTTATGTACGGAACGCCGAACTAGCCATGCTCCCCTTCTTAACCAACAAAACGCGTGCCGAAGTTGTAAATGATGCCAAATGAGGGTGTCATGTTCCCCAAAATGTCAAGATGTAATGGATATCGTAGTGAAGGTCCTACTGTACTGGTTCGTCCGGGTTCTGCAATCTCTTCCCAAGGTAAGTATGCGAAACGAGCGGATTCGATCAAAACGCGGCGTATTCCTCGTTTGGTGGCAGTTGATAGTTCTCTGCGTGCAGACCCTTGAGCGCTTCCTCGCCGTCCTTGGTGAGGTCTGGCCTGCCGACAGGTGTGACTGCGCCGGTGAAAAATCGTGGCTTCCACTCTTTCTCCGCCGCCTTTCGCTCTGCAGCCTTCTGCCGTTGCTTCTCTTCTATCTCGGTCTTCAGGTTCGTCGCCAGTCCATATTGCTTGCCTACTATGGCATTCGTGACACCGTCCCAGAACTTGAGGGACTCATTGGGAAGCTGCTGCTCGAGCGGTGGGACGATCTTGGCTACGGGGTCAAGCGGGTTGAGGTCGATGATGAGGTTCTTCTCCTGCTTGATGTTAGGCTGTGATCCAGACCGCCGCTTAGTGTACTTACAGCGACCTTAGCAAATGGCTTGCTGCCAAGGGTATAGTAGACCTTGTCCTGCCAGTTGCCCTCTATCCGCGCGAGGACGTCCTTCTCAGCGACATCCTTGATCTTGGTAATCGAATCGTTGTTGGGGTCGTATTTGAAGATGACACCCAAGACCTTGTTTTGCGATCGGCCGAGCCAGCCTTCCTCCTGGTATTCTAGGATGACCTTCAGTCCGGTCTTTGGGCAGGTAACGAAGCAGCTGTCCGCGACAGAGACATTGAGGGAGCCTGTAGAAAAGGTCAGCACCGTTACGGTACTTATAAGCTCTCATAGCCTACCTCGCAGAATACCCCCAAGGTAGGCGGCTGGGTGAGTGAGTTGGTACTCCTCATTGCCTCGGTTCTTCAGGGTGATGAAGATACCCAGGTTGTGCGCTCCAGCCACCACTCGTACACTTGTACCTGTGAACTTGGCGCTCAGTTGATCATAACCGCGCGCACTGATGCCCTTCTCGGGACAGTCGACATAGAAGGCGGAGACGGGAGGGTGGTGGGAGGTTTGCTCGGTGAGGTAGGAGACGGTCACGGTCTTGCCATCGCCTTTGACGCTGTTGGAGGCGCTCGAGGGAGCCGAGTTGGGAGTCTTGAGGGTGGGGTGGGTGTCTTCGATCTTCCAGTTGCACTGCGAGAGTCAGTAACCAGCTCGTGTAATTTCCGACGGAAGCGTACCCTGAAGAACTCGCCCAAAGTAGAGTTGTAGGGCTTGCAAGGCTTGCCCTTGACGTATTTCTGTTCCAGCATTAGCTATGCCTTCCTCGCCGGGGCGTGCCTCATACCAGGTCCTTGGTGAACCAGAAGCGCAAGCACCCGAGCATGCGCCCCAGATCATCTTCCGAATCTCCGATACTGTGGAGGTCAGTTCCCACTTCTGCAGTGTGCATCTGGCTTATACTAACCTGATGAATGTGTCGGGCCTGTCCAAGTAGTGCCAGTACTCTGCTCTCCGTCAGACGATAGTCCGGCTACAGCGATTTGCGAGGCTAGCCATCGCAGTTCTATATTCATATAACGTACCCAAATTTGGTCTTGGTTCGAGGAGTTGTGCGGGGAGGGAGAAGCGGACAGCAGCGAGGTCGGAGACGCCAATAAACCTGGAGAAGGACGGAGTTAGCTTTCGCGCGTCTGCTGTGACCGGATGGTGCTACGTTACCTCCTCAAGATGCCCAGGAAGGTCTTGAACTTGGAGCTGTCATCCGGAGCCTTCTCGACGGCAGCGCTTGACGGTGTGGCAGCCCGCGAATTGTCCCGCGAGTTGAGGGCGGACGTGGTTGCAGAGCCCGGTTGGGCCTTCTCTGGCGCAAGGTCCGCCATGGTTGCTGGGATATGGGTTTTACTCAAGAGAGTAATAGCAAGTGGAGATAGAGGCGCGAAGCTATATCTAGGTAACGATCGATGATGTCGTCAGGTGTTGAGGCGGTGCGCTTTTCGGGTTCCCTTGGCACGCGCCGGAGCTCTGACGTAGCGCAGCCGATAGCCTTCAACCTGGTCGCAGCGGGGTAGTGGAGAGAAGGGGAGCAGTAGCAGGTGGAAAACAGCATGCACATGCAAGTTCGATGGTTATCTCCAAGTTGCAGGGGCTGCTGTTCTTCTGCTTAGCGTGCCGTTATCGTACCTCTAATCCCAACATGCATGTTCTGCTGCAAGGTCGAAACGCGCAATAGGGACATGCATAACAGATCGTGCATCGCTTGATTGGGTGCAGTCTCGCCACCCGACTCTCCCCCCTACCAGGTTTCACAACCACAAATAGCCTACTCCACACACGTGGAACCGCATGAGATGTGTAAGAGAACTCATGATCTATTTTGCTGAGACGCAAATCCATCAACTCAAGCGTGATGGTGCAGCCTGACGTTCTCACTTCCAATAAATGCACACGACGACGCCAAAGCTCCAGTCGTGCAGGCTAATGCGTGATCGATTTGATCGACAGTGCAAATGACCGTCGGCCACCCCTAAACGCCGTCCATCGTACCCTGCGCTATCGTAAAGTCATCAATCATCCCATTCCCGCCATACGCCAATCTCGCAGGCCTTGGGCGTGTCGGTGTAGATTTCCACATCGTACCATTCCTCTACCGGTCCCCCAGAGCCTGACAGCCTATCAAGAACGAGCCATAGTTCGCCTTGCATCCCGAGCTTCGGATCGATGTTGACGCTCTCGGACCGAACCGTAGCAGTGTCAGAGTACTCTCCTTGCTCACTTGCGATGATGAACTTGCGCTCCGGGCCTCGACCCATTTCGACACTCAATCGGAACGGACTACGCGCTAGCTTGCCCAAATCGACGGCGCGAGGGCTCGTTGCTTTCGAGAATCTGGCGATGATGGTATACGAAGCTAAGCGCCTAGGCCACAATGGGGCAGCAACCTTATGTATGCTGGCACCAAAGCACGCCGGAGCGAGCTTCATCGAGAGCAATCCCGCCCCGTCGCGCGGCACTTGCTTCAACACCACCTCGCTTGTGCTGTCAACTCGGAGTTGGTAGTCACCAGTCAGACCAGCTTCAAACAAGGAGCAAATGATTGTGTAGGAGCCTGGTTGAAGGTCTTTGATCTCTGCGAGGACACATCCACTGCGATGGTCACCCGAGTCTGCTAGCACATCGCGACTCTGCAAGCGATATAACCTCTTTCCGTATCCTAGAGCAAGTTTGACGTGTAGGGGATGTTCATGGTTCGTGCTGGTGAGTAAGATGGCCAGCGAGCTACGCTCGCGGACAGTGAGCGAATACTGAGGATTGTCGAAATATTTCGATGAGTCTGTACCACCACCGGCCGTCTGCCTTGTCCATGCACCTTCCTCAGTCTTCTGCGACGGGTACCGCTGCGCCGCCTGTTCCAGCGTAATCGGAAAGTTCGCAAACGCAGACAAGGAGAAAGTGTACAGTGATGGAGGTAAGTCATCTTGATCGATCACCACTGTGTATGTCGAGTTGGCATCCGCGTCACTGCGAAGAAGACATTGCGGTGTAGTAACGTAGTCGCTCGATTCCAGGTATGTGTCCTTCATGTATAGGCGTTCTCCCTGGCCGTTGCAAATGTATATGCTCATGTATCCCTTCGGTGCATCCCCTTGGGTGTTGACTTGAGTGTCGGGACGAATGCTTCCGTCGTTGAACGC